CATTTCTTTGATTGAATACGCAAGAGAAGACAACGATTGTGACTGCCACAGTTTGAAACCTGTGTTTCAATGATCATTTATTGCCGTGGTCATCCACATAATAACAAACCGCAATAAACAGAGATTCGATGTTTCCGTTTGTTGTTGAATTCTTGTTCGTCGCTCTCCGAAGATTGTGAGCGATTTGAATAGGGATAACAGTTAATTAACTCTATTGAAAAGAAAAACATAAACATAAACAAACGAGAACACCGAGTCTCTGTTTATCATGGGTGGCAGTCATGTGTTCGGTTAACGATTTACGATTGGAAATCTCTTGGATTATTCCATTTGATTCAATCAGAGTTATGAATGAGTATCGACTCTCGAAAACTGTTGAAGAGTCGCAAAAATCAAGCACCCCACATGTGAGAGGCAAGGGGACTCACAAAAATCAAGCACCTCGAAGGGAACAGAGAACTACCACGTCCACGTCGTTGTTCCTGGGTAGCGCTAAGAGTAGTTCATCAATGACTTTGATGGTCCATAACTCGGACCCCAGTGGGCGGATTGTGGACCACAACCAGTGTTTCGTAAAGGGCTTGAAACCAGCTTTCTCATCCCATGGTGAAAAACTAGGGGTTCCATTTAAAAAAACCATCGTGACCCCTGAATGACCTTCAAAATGACCTTCCAAGGATTTTTCAAGGTCAGTACCATACTTCCCCCGTGTAACCCTAAACTTTTCATACGAAACATTTTTCTCTATCCCTACTAGTTTTCGAGATATTTGACTGGATCACTTCAGATGGTCCACCCTGTATATGTACACTGCCCGTCATTGATCGCCCTGCTGTCCTAGCAGTAGCTCTAACTTCTCTATAATTACATTATGATCAGATTGCTTATTAAAATTGTAACTTGAAATAGCTTTAGTTATTAATTTTAATAAGCGATCCTATTATAATCAAATTACAGCAAAGTTAGAGCTACTGCTAGGGCGGCAGGGGCACGCGAATCAATGACGGGCAGTGTACATACATATTTGATCTATATGTGATACATTCTCCATTGTAATTTGTGATTTGTCAATTGTATAACCTCTTTTATCTTAATAAATACTACTCGAGATGCAAAATGACTAACAAGATAAAATTTTTTGTGATATTCTGAAACACAAATATAGAAATTGTTATGCAAATTTTTGTCAGACTGTCTATAATACACGGAGTAAGAAGAGTAAGAAATTTACTAATCACAGTCGAATGTGAGAAGAATAATCAACTGTTATTTGTCAATTTCTTACTCTTCTTACTTCGTGTATTGTAGATAAGGCCTGTTCAACACTGCTCGTGAGTTGAAAATGCTTCCAGCTCTCCGTCATCTCGGTAGAGCGAGACGGAGCGAAAATAACAAAGGATAAGCGACAGGACTTCGCCAGAATTTAGATCTGTCCGAAAGTCATAAAATGAAACCGAAGGAAAATCCATTTCTCAAAATAAATTAGTAGCTGTTTTTTATTTTGTTTATTATGCTCGCAAGTGACATCCAAAAATTACAATAAAATCAAACGTTTCCACCTTTAATCTGATCATCACAAGTTGTTGTAAAAATTGCTGTTGATGCCAGATTAAAGGTAGAAACGTTTGATTAAATTTTATTGTAATTTTTGGATAACACTGGCGAGCATAATAAACAAAATAAAAAAACAACTACTATAATTGTATTTTGAAAAATGGGTTCTCCCTCGGCTTCTTCATTCTATGGGTGCGTTCCGTTTCTCGCATGATGCATCGTTTATCCTTATTGCTCACCAAACGTTAAACAAGGACAATGGATGCATCATGCACATCATGCGCGATACGGAACGCACCATATGACTCGGACTGAATTGAAGCGGAGCCCTGCCGCCTATCCTTTGTTATTTTCGCTCCGTCTCGCTGTACCGAGGGGACGGAGAGATGGAGGCTTTTTCGACTCACGAGCAAAGTGTCGGACAGGCCTGTGGTCTAACATATTTCTATACTTTCATAACAGATAACTTCTCTGTTAACGATTCAGTAAAGAATAAATGTCAATGCATGGTTTAAATTTAAAACGGAAAATTAAAGGGTATACACCACAAACGCAAGATGTTAGTAACTGATATTCATTAAAACTAATGACACGTATCATTTGTATCTTTATCAAATTAATTAAATGCGTAGATTTAAGATTTTAAAAGCGATGCGTAGATTTAAGATAGATTTAAAATTAGATTAAAAATTGATAATATTTGTAAATGTGATTGTAATTTTTTTTAATGTTCATTAAAACTAATAACACGTGTCATTTGTATCTTTATCAAATTAATTAAATTCTACCAAATTATAAAAAGTAAAACCCAATCTTTTTTTTATTATCTGGAGACACTGGTAGTGTCTCGGCGCTAAGCCAAAGCGAAGCGACACTGCCGTGGCCTCCTTTACGCGAACCGAAGAGTTGCGGCTTATCGAGGTTATCGGATCTCATATAACGGCTGAATCGATCGCGTTCTATGTATGCTCAATCGATAGCCACCACACGAATTGTATAATAAAAGTGCTTTTATTTATTTTGTACGTGCCCTACGAGCGGAGATATCGCGACGCAAAGTTCCGAACTGCTACTTTTCACTTCTCAGATTTTCAGATACGTCGTCCTGGAGCCGTATTCATAGTCAGAACTTATTTTCAAGATCGGCTCAAGTACGGTCTTAAGATGCCTTCTAGATTCATATGGCCCGTATTCATAGTCCGTTCTCAAGGTGGTGCTTAAGATTATCTTGATGAAGATCATCTTATTTGCTGAAGATCACCTTAAGACATTATGAATTCATAGTCCATGAATAAGGCAATCTCAAGAATGCGCTAATACTTAAGGACTGTCTTGTTTCATATTAGATTACCTTTGTAAAGATCATACTTAAGACAGTGCTCATTTGTGTTCGGGAACTTCCGTCATAATTCCGTTAGAACAACCAATAATATAATAGAAGAGTTTGAATGTTGTGTATTTACTTGGTTACTGTTATATTTGTGTTTCAAGGTTCTTCTCCAAAAGATAAAGATTTTTCATACGGAAATAACGAAAAATGGCAAGTAATAAGAGTAGACATTATACGCCTGCGGAAAAGAATCTTTTCTTACAAATTTTAAATAAATATAAAGACATTATTGAATGCAAAAAAAGTAATGTTAACACACTTCGCGAAAAAGTTGCGTGGACTAACATTTGTGGCGAATTTAATAATTCGTCATTAATTACGCAAGAGGTAAGAAACATTTATTTCTTTATAGTATAAAATATAATTAGATAATTTTAACAGATTATGTCAACAAACTGAATATAACATGAATGTAATACGTACAATTGAAAGGCTTGCTACAATAGTGAATTAACCTACATTTTATAAAAATGGAGAAAATAAACTCGGATTCTGTCGTGTAATTAATGTTTATTTCAACAAATTCTTATCGAGTTGGTTGTAAAATTATTAAAATATTTATTTTACATTGTATTAATATTCTTTTAACAAATAAGAAAAAAGCTTACTGTAATTTTAAATTCATTATTTGTCATTTTAGTATTATAAATATATAATAACTATTTAGTTATTACTATTAATTATTTAATGTTCCTTTATTTTTGTAGAGAAATATACAACAACTGAAAAAGCTGTGGACCAACTTAAAACAAACTCAAAGAGATATTATAACAAAAGAAAGACAAGCTAGATTTGCTACAGGTGGCGGACCAGAAGCACCATCCTCAGAACTTGATCCAAATGTTGCTTTAATAGCGCCTAATTTAATGGCCACAGCCCCTACATTATTTTCATAAAATATGAATGATGATGAAATAGAAAGTAAGCATTTCTTTGGGAATAGTAATAGTAAATAATAATGGTGATAGTAATTGTTTGCATTTATTCTTTACAAAATTTTAGATCATAAACAGATCGTACAAGATATAAATGACAGTACAATAGAATTTGTATTTGATCAAGTGATAGATAAGGAAAACACACCTTTATGTAAAACAAAAGCATCAGATTCTCAAGGTATGTTATTGTATATTCTTTCTACTTATATTTATATTTATACTTATATTTACATTTATATTTATATTTATTTTTATAAAGTGATTCTTTTACATCTTTAAATATGTTAATTTTTTTTTACAGAAGTTATAATAGAAGAAATAACAATGGGAACAAGCAAGACCATGAAGAAACGCAAGTTCATAGAAACAGAAGATGATCTAAAAATTGAAAGAATAAGGAATATAATAAAGCAAGAACAACAGTTGGCCAAAGTAAAACTCGAACATGAAGAAACGATGGCTGCTATTAAAGAAACTCATTTAAAAGAAATAAATAAAGCAGAGTTAAGAATGTCGCTAGCAAAAGCTACAGAAGCTGAGAAAAAGGCTGAAATAGCTGAAATTTTATTAAAGAAAGAAAAACATATTATTTCTTAACTATTTATAAGTTTAAAACTATAAAAATTTTATTATTGTATTAGATTATTCTATGACATGTTATAAAACAACCCGTAGTCCAATAACAGATTAAAAAAAGAGAAAAATAATTTTTGTTTATGTAACTTTGAATTCATGTGTTTAATAAAAGAATTGTAATAGTCGCCACTACTACCTGGTGTTCGTGGTATATGCCTTTCAAACAAAGAATAACAGATTATTTTAAATATTTTGTATTTTAATTTTATGTCTTAAATAAAAAGAACTTGTTATTATCGTATAAATGGTACAATTCAATACCCATATATTTTTTATATAGTCATGATCATAAAAATATAAATACAAAAATTGATAAGTAATTAGTAATCAATAATGCATTTTAGTACATAGTATAATTAGTAATTAATAACCCAAACAGCACAAGGACATCTTCAGGACTATACTCTGAATATATGAATGTCCTCTAATGTCCCAGGATGTCCTAAGATATATTCAGGATGATCCTGAGGACGTTTTGTGCTGTCTAGGAATATAAAAAATTTATCGAAATAAACGCTCGATAAGAGCTTGTCTCATTGCAAACCCTTCTCCTGGCTGCCAGTGTGGTGGATTTACTGGGACATCATCACATTCATCATATACATCATCTTCATTACCCTCAGGAAGTTCATCACGGAATATTAATGCAAGATTGTGTAGCACAGCACATGCTATTACAATAGATGTAGAGCATAATAATTTTGTGCTGAGTCCTCTTGATAGACAAGGAAATCGTCGTTTCCATTCGTCATATGTTCTCTCTACAATTTGTCTTGTCCGTCCGTGAATAGTATTACACCTAAAAATAATATATATTTACATACATGCGTATGTTAATATATTCATAAAACCATATATATGTATATATATGTATATCCATAAATATATACATCAATTCCTCATCTGTCTGAGGATTTCCTATTGGTGTCAAAAGAAATGGTAAAACTGGATAACCAGAATCACACACACCAACTAAATTCCCATTTAACTTTCCCTCCATATATTGCATATACAGGGTGTTTGGCGACTACCGCATTTTTTGTCATACGTGGGTAGAACAGTCTATACTGAATCAAAAAGTCCTGTACCATTTTGCGGTGTCAGCAATAGTTAGCAAGATATTAATTATTAAAAATTG